CCCCAGGACAGTGCTACTGACTGAAGGTTTAGCCTGGGATACATATATGGGAAGATTTCTTTTCTAAATGCGACGTATTTCCGGGGTGCCTTGATAGTCGAAGCAGACGTTGTGCTGTTGAGACAAGAGAGGTGAACAGAGTAAGCCAGATTCCCCGTTTGGACTTCTCTGTTGATATCCACCCCTTGGCGGTCATATGACCTTAGACGGTTGCAAGTGCCGTAAAACCTTCCTGAAACTAAAACTAAACCTTGCCCATTTGTACGGGATTAACTCTTCATTGTTATTTCGGGCTCACTGGTAGGGCTGGGCAATGAGTCGCTTTATCAAAATCCGGATAATATGTTAGTGCACCCCTTCGGCAAATAGTATTCTCTGAACCGCTTTGGCAAATGGGTTAGAACCATTTCGACAAGCGGGTTAGAATCATTTCAACAAATAGGTGCCCCCACTTCGGCAAACGGGACTCAGGAACGAGAGTTTAGAGTCTGAATTCAGATGTTTCATTGAGAATTATCCCGTTATCCTTTTATAGATTATCCGGATTTTGCCCACCTCTACTCACTGGTACTGGAATGTGTTGACTCCTTTATCAAGGAAAGTAACTATGTCGACTAAACGAGAAGAAATTCTGTGTTTTTCTCCCTTACTTTTCAACCCTTCTTTTCTTCTCTGTCTCCGGCAGTTGTTTACAGTGAAAGATTGTTTAGATCTAGATCTAACAAAGTTTATAAGACAGTACCTCCGATTTAAGATACCCTAAAAATAAAAAAAAAGTAAAATGTAGAAACCCAACAAGAAACAAGCGAGGCCACTGAGTTGGAAGCCTTGAAAAAAAAATCCGATAATCCACCCTGTTTGTGCTGAAAGTGCCGTAAATCTCTTACACGAAACTTACAAACAGGATCTTCGATGTCCATTCGTCTCCAAGATATTATTTAATAATATAAGGACGTTGATGGACATTTTCCTTCTTGTATTTGTATCCTATTATTGACAGGCTGGTCTCTTGTTTTCGAGAGTACACGGCAGAAAGCAAAAGTTCACCTTTTCTCAGAATGTGCACGAGTCTGGGACTAAACTCACATGTTCTACGAAAAGACATAGCTACTCACCCTTGGACCCACCCACTTACTCTCTCCTATAAAAGGACACATCACTCTTGGACAAGCCTACTCACTCAACTCACTGTCTCATCATATTATATAAGTAGGCCCTATAAAGACACACCCACTCACTGTCTCACATTAAAGGACACAGCTACTCATGGTCTCATACAAAGGGGCACGGCTACTCACTTTAAGACACGCCCACTCATTGTCTCCTATAACTCCTTACTGTGAAATGAAACGATAAAAGGTTAGACAGTGAAAGGAAGAGCTAAGAAAATTATTCTGCGGAAGGAAAACACAGGCTACAATATGTAGAAAGTGAGACTTTAAACTTTAGCTTAAAAAGGAATAACAAAAAAAAAAGTGAGAATAAAAGAAAAGGAAGACAACGTTAGTGAAAAACTTTAGTGAGAATGTTAAAGAAAGTGCTAAACCTTAGATTTCGAGAGAAAAAACAGTTTTTTAAAAAGTGCGACTGTAAATGGAGAAACAAATGAAAACCAACAAAAACATCACGCAGATCTAACTGTAAATGAAAGCAACATCTCAAAAAGTGAGACAGAAGGAATTTTTTTTTCGGGGGGAGGGGAGGGAATGCAAGAACATTAAACGAGTGCAAAGAGGTGCAACTTTTGAAAGTAAAACTAAAAGGCTATGAAAAGAAAAGTAAAATCAATATCGAAACCGGTGAAGTTTACATGAGGAAATCTACCGTGTGTAAGTGTAAGTGTAGTCCATACATATTAGGTCGTTGTCCACATATTGACCTGCCCTTTGACCGGCGAGGGGACCTTTGTGTGTGGTTGTCATGTTGTGTAGAATCTCCAGTTGCCAAGCCAAGGATTTTTGTTATGGTCGTTTGTTTCGAATCGATATGTCATAAGTTATACTGACTGTAGTAGTGTCTTTAGGCCATTCCCAAAGGGGGGACATTTCTCGTTCAAGCACAGTAGAATTGTAAATGGGCTGATTCATGTCATGCTCATAACTGTGCCTGATCAGACTGGTCTACAACAGGGAACTGCTGCTTTTTCTTTCTTCTTCCTTACTACTGTCATTTCCTCTACTTGTTTTGTATGTTTGTCACACTCTTGTGACCTGCTATTTCCGGGATGCCTTGATAGTTGAAGCAGACCTTGTACTGTT